TGAGCTGACGATGCTTTTACTGCATTGGCATTTAATTTTGCATGGTCAGCAAAAGCCTGTGTCATGAGTTTGTGATTTCACTTACCTGTTACCTGCTGGGCTCTGGTCTGAGAGTGGTTGTTTATGATACCTAAGTATATGTTGTCATGTTCCACAGAGTTGGAATACACTGAAAAGCATGGCACCTGGCTTTGTGCAGGACATCATGGGGAACTTGGCGATACAACATTATTTTAGCTTTCTAAATGTGTGCTCTACTTGGGCTTACAATACGTTAAGTAATAGTAATAATTCAAACAGTGAATGTAGAATAAGTGTGCACAGTTCCAGGGCAGGAGAGACTGTTGAGTCACTATTGGAAATGGCAAAGGGAGAAACATTTGTTGATCACAGATAAAGAAACTCTATCTAGCTGTGTATCTATCTATCTGTCTGGAAGTCTACATGACCTGCCCAAGGTTGCAAAATAAGAACTCTTCTTCAGGTTTACATAATCAAAGAGGCTGGTGAGGCTGGGATGATCAGGAAAGGCTTCAGAGGAAAGGAGGCTTGAGCTACCCTGCAGGGAGGAGGCAGGGTTGGGAAGGTGTGGAGAGCAGGTTGTAGGAAGAGGACAAGAGGTTAGAAGGAGCAGGAGCAACTCAGCACTCCTGCCACAGGAGGGTTCTGGGCTGATTTGGAACCCTTTCCAGTGATGTTCGGCAGTCCCAGGGGCCCCAGTGCACCCCACTGTGCACAGAACGTTGGCAGAAGGGACAGTTTTTGTATGAGAAGTGCTGAGTAGCAGACAATTGGCCAGTAGTGACCTCTGGAAAGCATTGAGTTATGGTTCCAAGGAGATCACGACTTCCAGGGGATGTTCCTAGCCTGACCCCAAGGTCAGGCCCTCTGACCTTTCTCCTCTTCTGCCTGGGGCTCTGCAGGTTAGTCCCTCCCTGCCTCAGCCAACTTCCACTCCCCAGGTGTAGCGTTTCCTGGTTACCATCATCTGTTCGGTCTCTGAGCATAGCACAGCTGATGGTAACTTGTTAGGAAATCAAACTGTTAACCTGGCTTCACTTCAGGGACTAAATTACCTCAATCTAAAGAACTTCTGGAACACAGAGAGAATAAGTACCTGCCTAGGAATGGCTTTGTCATTGTCCTCAGAAAGTCTCCTTGCTTTAGAATTCCTGCTGGGCTGACCCTCCTCACTGCAATCATAACTTTAATTTCATCTAAGGATAGAAACATGGAAACAAAGTCTCCCCAAAGGATGGCAGAATATTCATTAGAGAAGATGAAGGTCAGTGCACTCATCCTCAAGCTGACCTGAGACCATGCTGCTGCTGCAACCCTGCCCAGCACATAGTAGGTGCTTAGCGAACACCCAGCTGGGCAGTAGTGGAATAGGGATGTTCCTTTTATAAGGGCTCTGTCCAGGCGAAGTGGCTACGGTTCTTTTTCATATCGCTTCATCCAGGTAAAACCCATGTGAATGCTCGTTACCAGGCATCTGGAAGAAGCTTTCCAGGGCAGCCCCAGGCTCATGGCCTTCGGCTTTGGTGTTCTCCAGAAGAATAGAGGAGGTAAACAGAGATGGCCAGTTGGACCATTCATGTGAATGCGTCCCAGGTTTCTTTTGGCTCCAGCTGGCATGTCCATGCCCCTCTTCTGGTCAGTGAGCCCCACCTCCTGGTGTCAGCCCTGCTCCCTCTGCTGTCTGAATCATCATGAGCTCCTTGTCCTCAGCCAGTTTAGCTCTTAGCTGTCCGGACTTTTCAAAGCACTTCTGCTGTCTCACGTCCACTCTAACTGACATGTGATTGGGAATTTAAAAACATATTAAGACAAGCACATAGCTCCTCTAGGGAAATAACAGAGCTTTTAAAAATAAAAAAGCAAAGTCCTGTAAAAACAGTTTTTACTTCGCAAACCCGTTGTCAAGATGGACTGGTCTGGCATTTTGACACCAGAGGGCGCCAGTGATTAAATTATGTGGACAAGTTAAATTGCCCTTGCCAAGAAATCCTCTTAATTTGGTCCCTTTATTTTTGTCTTGTTGTTGTTGCTGTTGTTTGTACTGTGCTAGACAAGCACTTTATCACTGAGCTACACTCCCTGTCTTTATTTGAGACGGGGTCTTAATAAATTATCCAAGCTAAGCTTGAACTTATAATCATCCTGCCTCAGCCTCCTAAGTAGTTGATATCTGTTTATCTGTTTGTTTTGAGACTGTATCATTTAGGCTGGGCTTGAATTCACTGTGTAGCCCAGGCTGGCCTCACACTCTTGGGAATCCTCCTCAGCCTCCTGAGTGCTGGGATTACAGGTGTGCACCACCATGCCCAGCCCAAGTAACTGGTATTATTACAGGTGTGTGTGAGATGGATAAAGGCTTTCGTGGGCTGGTAGGCAGAGCAGGTTAGGAGTCAAAGGGCAGCTTTCGTTAGGGGGAGTGGATAGAGAATTCCACCAGAGTGCTGCAGCCTAGAGTATGTGATCAGATTGAAGGTGTTAATGCATTCGTTAGGAAGAACTCAGCCCAGTCACTGCCCTAGCTGGGCTGCCCCCTGTCCTCCCCCCTACACCCTCGGCTCATCTTCCATTCAGCAGCTTACCTGAGCCCTCCAAAGTAGAGTAAGGGCCCTGTGTATTCCCTCTTTCCAGGCCAGTGACTCAGTTATGTAGGGCAAGCGGGAGGTCTGGCCCAGCCTGTCTGCTTTCATTCCGGAGGCAGTTTTATTTATTTGTTTGATTTTTATTTTTCTTACTGGATTTTATTTTTTAGAACAGTTTTAAGTATGGAACAAAATTGAGCAGAGTCCAGAGGAGTCCCATGTGCCCGGGCCTCACATGTGCATAGGCTCGCCACGCCTGCCATCAGCAGCCTATAGTAGACTGGCATGTGTGTTAACAGTTATGAACTTAGGTAAACATGTCCACACTTAGCACCCAAAGTCCTTCATTACATTAGGGCCTGCTCTTGGTGTTTATAACCCACGAATTGGACAAAGGTGTCATGACATATATCTGCCATTATAGATAGGGTCATACAGAATAGGGTTACTGCCTTAAAAATCCTCTGTGCTCTGTCTATTCACTCCTCCCTCCTAACCCATGCCAACCACGAGTCCTTCTACGGTTTCCACAGCTTTGCCTTTGGCAGATTGCCATGCAGTTGGAACAGTATAGTGTGCAGCCCTGGCTCAAACCAGCCCAGCAGCCCCTAGGAGGTGGAGCTTAGGCAGATGTATGGCTCTGAGGCCACTGCTGCTCTGAGGAGAGCCGCCTCCCAAGCTGCATTGCTTGAATCCAGTTGTCACCAGGGGTGCCATGTCTCCTAGTGTAGAACAGGCCAGGGTGCAGTATCACATCTTCCTACTCTTTTAAGTTGCAGGTGTGTTTTATGGTCCAAAATGTGGTGTATCTGGTAGATGTTCCATATGAGCTCAAAGAGAATGTGTACTCTGCTGTTGTTGGATGAAGTAGTCCGAAGATATAATTATATCCTGCTGATTAGTGTTCCTGTTGAGTTCAACTTCTGCCCACTGACTCAGTTTATCTCACTTAGAGGTGTATCGAGGTCTCCAACTCTAATAGGAATCGTCTATTTTTCAGTTTTTACTTACTATAGCTTGACTTTCTCTTGTTAGGTGCATACACACTAAGGATAAAGTCATCTTGAAGAATTTGCCTGTTCATCATTGTTATGCCCCTCATCAAATCTGATGAGCTTCTTTGCCATGAAGTTTTCTTTGTTTGAGAACAGGGAGATGTTCAAGATCCCCCACAGATGGTAGATAGTACCAAACCCTATATACACTGTGCTTTCTCCTATATATAAATACACCTATGAGAAAGTTTAATTTATAAATTAGGCATAGTAAGAGATTAATAATAATGACTAATAAGAAAATAGAACAGTTGGAACAATATACTCTAATAAAATTGCCAGCATCACTACTTACGTTTTGGAGCCATTATTAAGTAAAATAAGGGGTACTTGAATATAGGTACTGTGATACCGTTTCTGTAGTTTGGATCTTAAATGTTTTCCTTAGGCCTATGTGTTAAAAGGTTATCAGTTTAGCGCTATTAGATGGTGGTAGAAGTCTTAAAAAAGGGGAGCCTCTTAAAGCATATTAATCATAGTTGTTTTAAATTCTCAATTTGATAATTTCAACATCTCTGCCATATTTGAGTCTAGCTCTGACACTGTCTCCTTAAGCTATGTTTTTCCTTTTTATGTGCCTTGTAGCTTTATCTTACTAGCTAGAGATGACGCACTGGGTAAAGGAATGGGGGTCATGTCCTGTGGTGGCGCAGGACAGCACTCTGCAGTCCTCTGCATTGGTGAGTCTGTGTCTCAGGACTGTGACCTTCACCCTGGCCTCAGGTGGAGTAGGATGCCTGGAGTGGGCTGCCGTTAGACATTTCCTTTCCCCTGGGTCACTGAGGAGCTGATAAAATCCAGAAGTTCAAGCTCTGCTGAAATATCTTCTCCTTGGGGCAGGCCTTATTAAGAAGCACAGAATGCTCTAGCCTGTTTCAAAATGGTTAGTTTTCCCCTCCTCTCCCCTTCGGGGAGAATGCAGGGATTTTCCTCACCTAGTTCCTCATATAGTTACTGTGGAACACACCATGTGCACGCACCTTGCAGATGAGGAGGGAAGCAGGCTGTCTCCCTGTGACCTGTTTGGATCCAGAATTTAACTGACTTTTATTTCCAGAGAAATCAGTTAAGTTCTCCTTGAGTCATTAGTTTCTCCCCAAAAGGAATCTTAAAAGTGACATTTATTTGTTCATCCTCATTTCATATATGCAGAATGCCTGGAAAGAAATAATGAGAAACTGGTTATCTCTACGAGGTGATTTGATGGATGATTTTAGTTCTGTGGGATGGGATGAATGATGATTTTTATATTTTTCTGCATTTTCCAAATTCCATTATGTATTTTACAGGTTTTTTAAAAAAGTAATGCTTTAGGCCATGAACGTTTGAATGTGTCTCTTTACAGTCTGCAAAATGAATGTTCACCGTCGATGTGAGACCAATGTAGCACCCAACTGTGGGGTGGACGCCAGAGGGATCGCCAAAGTGCTGGCCGACCTAGGAGTCACTCCGGACAAGATCACCAACAGCGGCCAGAGGAGGAAAAAGGTAACCGGCTACTCTTGGTGTTTCTGCGCCTGGAGCTTGGCTCTGAGCTGGACTTGTTGCTAGGGTTACTGAGTGTGCTCTGGACAGAGAGAATGTTAGATTCCTGGGCTTGAGACATTTTACTCAAAGCAGCACCACTTAAAGACAAAAAGAGCCAGGCATGGTGATGTGTGCCCACAATCAGGAGGCAGAAGCAGGGGGATCATAAGTTTAACCCTCTGTGTCAAAAGAGAATAATATGGAAAGGTTGGGGCTGTAGGTCAGTGCTCCTTGGGTTCAATCTCTGGAAAGAAGGAAGGAAGGAAGGAAGGAAATAGAGAGAAAAAGAGAGAGAGAGGAAAGAAAGGGAGAGAGGAAGAGACCTTCAAAGAGAGGGGGAGGGGAGGGGAGAGAGGGAAGAAGAAGGGTGGCGAGAAGAGGCCAAGCAGTAATAGGAAAAGTCTTCTGCAGCTGCTGAAAAGAGAGTGAGAATAAAGCAAGGCTTAAGAGTTAACATTTGTCAGAGAAACAGGAGGTTTGAGGTGAGGCCTTTGAGATTCTGTCTAGACAAAGCATAACAGCTGCAGACAGAGTGGCGACACTTACCTGCCTGCGGCTCTGTCACTGAAACAAGGCCAAAGTCTGAGCTTCTCTTTGGTGGTGGTGTTGTGAAGATAGATGGACACAGGGCTGGAGCCACCTTCTGCTCTGCTCTGCTCTGCTCTAGCAGAAGCCGAGATCTGACGTACCAGCTCTGAGCTGCCTGGGGAATACTGTGGAAGCCCCATGCTGTGGAATATCAGGGCCTTTCTTTGCAGACAAAATCCCTGTCTCTATCCACATGATGCTTCGAGGGTCCATAGTAGAGCTGTTTGCTTAAGTGTCATTTTGGTAAATTGGGGCCCACAGATGTAAATAGAGCCAAAAGGTCTGTATCAGGCTCTTCTTTAACCTAACTCCTAGGATTGAAAATGGAAGAGGAAGTTGGCATGGTGAGGGACACCTGTAATCTTAGGAGGCTGAGGCAGGAACATCCCAAGTTTGAGGTCAGCTTCGACAATTCAGTGAGATCCTATCTCAAAATAAAATAATAAGCAAACAAATAGGAATCTGGGGATGTAGCTTAGTGGTAGAGCACTCCTGGGTTCATTCTGGTAACACACACAGGCTTTGAAAAGTAAGTATGACAGAACCAGAGCCGTGCAGCCTGGACAGGCTATCCTGATGTGAGTAGGGTAGGTGTGGCCCTCACTGCTCAATGTCAGGCATTTCCAAGTGCTTTACTACAAAAGCAGATTTGACGCTAGGGACCTGTATGGTCTTGGTTCCTAAAAGTTTTCCCTAAATTTTGCCCTGACATGCCTTCAGAGGTGCCCTATGTTTCCTAGCATCTTGATGGAGAACCTGCTCGTGTCTTCTCCCTGGTGCTGCCAGAAGAGCTCTTTTTTTCCTGACGGGAAGGTTGGACTATTTCCATCTTCCCTCCTTAGCTGGGAGATGTTATGTTTCGGGCAGCTCTTCTGGGTTCTGTAAATCTCACCAGCAGAAACCCAGCTTCAGCTGTTGACCCGAGGCACTGGAATTGCAAGCAGTACCCAAGTACCAAGACACTGGGGGCACCCAAAGCGGTGGATTAGATGCTGTGTGGCCATGATGTTAGATGGACACAGTTATGAGGTCAAGAGAGAGCCCTTCTCAAGGACAGGAAGTTTTCTCCTTGCTGAAGTAAAGTAAGATGGTCTCTTTCATTGTCATGAAACATATAAGAAAACTTAGCACCTGTCCTCTTTCCTACATTTACATGGGCTGCAATGCTAGCTACTGGCATCATCTGCTGGGTGTGCATTTGGGGGAACCTGGTAGGAAGAAGTCAACATGGAGAAATCTAGGAGGAGATGAAAGTGAAAGCTAAGGGATCGAGGTCCTGATATTTTTATTGCTTTGATGCTTCTGATGCAGAAGCTGGGAAAAAGCCAAGTGGCGCCCTAAGTTAGTATGAAGGACAGGAGTGACACTGTCAGAAGCAAGGTCTTCTTGCAGGAGTGTCAGACCTGCTGGGGCTTTGGTTCCCTCCTTATCCCAAAAAGGAAAAAGGTGCACTGTGGGCTGGGCACACACAAAGGCAGCAGGGTACTTGGGATCTCTCACTTCAAACTGCTTCCTGAAGGGAGACTTGAAGTGGGCATGTCCACACTCAGCCAGGAAACTTGTTCCACTGGGGGTATTCTGTCCAAAGCTGCAAACAGACAGCAATATATCAGAAAATATTTACTGAGTGCCTATTGTGAGTATTACTTTGTGCATGTCACTAGGGGAGAGGAAGGGCCAGATAGTCTCACCTTCAAAGACTGCGGTCCACTTGAGTAGAGAATCCTACACAATGTAGACATACATATGTTATTAAGGATATAAAACTGAATAAGGTAGTGAGTGTCAAACAGGTGGAAAGACAGCCAGCCTCATATTGTTTTGGGTGAGAGACCTGCCTTGCCTGGATAGGTAGGGGGAGGCTTGGATTGAAGAGGTTGGACAAGCTTTGCTCAGAAAGTTGTATTTGGAGAGAATAACCATTGAACAAACCAGTCTGTCATGTTCATCTCTTTCACTGGAGAGTGAAACCTTGAGTCTGTTCTTAGGGTATCCAGCCAGCAAGTGGTACAGCACACTGCATCCCTAACAGCTCTCGGTGCAGAGAACTTCATGCCCTGGACCTGAGGGAAACCCATGCCCCTCCTTTCTGATGCCTCTCTCCCTTCTTCCTGCCTTCTCTCTAGCTTGTTGCCGGTGCCGAGTCCCCCCAGCCTGCTTCTGGAAGCTCCCCATCTGAGGAAGATCGATCCAAGTCAGCACCCACCTCCCCTTGTGACCAGGGTGAGACCTCCAGACTTCCTTCTTCCCCTGAGCCTTTCGGTGGAAGGACCAAGGAGCGTGAGCCCAATCCCCCCAGGGGCGTGGCCTCAGCAGTGGTCCCTGCACACCCTCTCCCTGTTGATTCAACCCATCTTTCACTCTGTGATGCCCTCTAGAGAGTTGGGCACTAGATGGCAATGCTTTCCTTTAATTCCTTCCAGGCCAGGGTGAGAAAGAGCCAGTGTGTGTGATGTCATGGTTCTTTCTATTCCCTGCCTCTCTCCCTGGCTCCAAGGGCAGAGGGGAAGAGGAGTACAGCTGCTCCCCTCACCTTTGGCCCCAGTGTCTAGCTCTGAACTTTTTAGCACCACCACCAACCCCCGCCCCCAGCACCAGTAATCACACCCAAAACCTGACATCAGGTTGAGCTGGAAGATGGATAGGAGAGCTAATCTGTGAGTAGGGACAGAAAGATGGAGTTGTGAAAGAAACTGAGAGAAATGAGGAGTGAGCTTTAGGCCCAACCCGCCTCTTTAGTTCAGCTCTGGATATTTCTTTCTGTCTGAATATGCTTAAAGTAGAAAGTTCTACAGGCATAATATGCATAAACATAATAATTTTGCAGAATCATTGCAAAGAATACTGGGGCTGACCAGGGACTCACATATGTAAAGCCTTCTACTCTGATGCCCAGCACCAAACTTCTGTGGAGGAGGGACAGTCCTAACGCTATAGTTCCCAGATGTTCTGTAACTCCTTTTGTGTTTATTTTCCTAACGCCCTGTGATGGTTGGTTACTGCCCTCAGGATACAGGGTAAAAAGTGGGAGTCCAGGAGTTGAAAGCTTTATCCCAAGATCAAGAGCCAAGGTCGTGACAAAGGTGGGCTTGTGCCATCAAGTCCCACTGGAGATCATCACCAGTGACCCAGCCCTTCTTACCCAGGAGTGAGTCAAACAGCTTCAGGGACTGTGTCCCAATCCCAGGGCCACAAAACAATTGGCCTCATTGGTTCTTTGTGTTGCTCCAATTCACTTTCTGTGTCTTTTCTTCATCCCCAAGGAGATTTGACCCATTCATGAATTGCAGGTCTTATTCTGGACCAATGTGGGCATTTTTATGCTCCCCTTTTCAATACTGAGATATCCTCTGGGAGCTTCAAAGAGACAGGTGCAAATGGTAAAGAGACCCAAGTGAGAGTGATGGGCCCTGGTGTTCAGGCCTGGCTCCTGCCTGGCCTGCCTGCCACCTGCCACCTGGCCTTGGCAAGACACAGTACCTCTCAGGATGTCCCAGTAGGGACGTGAGCACTAGTGGACAGGAGAGTCCTTTTCACAAGATGAGGCGTTGTCACAAAACAGAAGTGAGCCATTTTTCCTCTTTCCTCCCTTGTGAGAACATAGACCATTTCTTCAAGCTTTGGTGTCCCACGAGTCTAAATTGTGTCTTTCAAAAACCACTTAATAATAGATTTTTAGCTCTATGGTAAGACTAATGTCAGACTTAGTGAAAACTGCGTTCACTGTTGGATTGGTGTGTAGGGTATCTGTAGATGCAGAGGCTGTCCCATCGTTCCCCTCCCCAACACAGCTACCCCCGGGCCACCCCGGAGGAGCTCACTCTGTATCTACGAAGCTCTCCAGAGTCCTAGGATAGGCTCTTACAGGCTTCAGTTCTTTGGAAAAGAAGCTTAAGATCTTTCTGTCAAGAGATACTGGGTCACTCACAGCTAATTCAGATTCCCAAGGGTAAATAGTCTCGGGTGCCCACTGTAATCCAAGTTTCGAGTATCTTTAAGAATTGGGTTATGCTCAAGATTCCTATTTCTATACAGTTGAGTGTGTGTTCTGGTGAATGAACTGCCAACCATAAAGTTTCTTCAAATAGAAAAGGTCAAAGTATCACCTCGTGTGAGAAATAATTCTTTTATTAATGAGAAGCCCATTGCCATTTTGTCCTATAGCCTGGTTTAAGTACCAGTATTTAGAGTAAATCCAGCATCAGACCAAGTAAAGACCTTTAGGATCTACAGAGGAAATAATTATATCAATCTGACTCTGATGATTGTTCTTGGTTAGCTGTTCTACCCTTGAAAGGGGACTTGGAGGGCAGTTGCCATTGTGACTCTACGGAGTTCCTGAGACACCTGGATTCTTGCAGTGCATGTGGAATTATGGGCTAGGCTGCCAGCTGGAGGGGGCTGCCAGAGAGGGCGGGTTTGCTGCAGTCTGAAGGAGTTGGCTGGCAAGGAACACCTCAAGGGCCAGGACTCTGTCCTCTCCTTTGACTAAGGCCCCTGTTGTACATGGGGGGCTGGAGAATGTGTTTTGGACAGATGAAGAAACTCGAAGAGTTCCTGGGTTGGTTGGATGCCACCTTGGGCTTGTTGCTCTGCAGAATTGAAAGAGGGTTCAGAGGGGTCCCCAGGGGAAGGGCTCATGGGATGTGCACTAATCCAGTACTATATCTTGTTACTCTTTGGCCCTAGAATTAAAAGAACTTGAAAACAACATCCGGAAGGCCTTGTCATTTGACAACCGAGGAGAAGAGCACCGGGCATCATCCACGGATGGCCACCTGGCCAGCCCTGGAGAGAATGGTGAAGTCCGGCAAGGCCAGGCCAAGCGCTTGGGCCTAGATGAGTTCAACTTTATCAAGGTGTTGGGCAAAGGCAGCTTTGGCAAGGTCTGTGGCAGTTGTGGGTGGCCCTGCTTATTTCTGTACCCTATGGTATTTTCTCTTCTCTTTGATCAGTGAGGAAGATCTCAGCCTGGTCTTTTCCTTCTTTGTTTTTCTTTTTAAAATTAATTTTATTGGCACACTTTTGATATACATAATAATCACAGTCATTGTAGGGAATTTGTACGTGTACATAATATATCTGCTTTCTTTATTCCTCATTCTTCATTCCTCTCCCCTCCCTTCAACCCTTCCTTCCCTCCTTATTTACAAAAGCTTTGTTTACAACTTTTTCCTTCCATTCTCTTTTTTCCCTTTCACTTCCTTGCCTTCACCCTCCCCCTTCCTTGCTCCCCTTCCCATTCAAACATGTTCTTCCTACTTCCAGTATCTGTCATTCATTTTGATCCTTATTCACACTTCCGGTTTCTCACACAAAAGAAACTGTGATATTTAAACAAATGTATCTGATTTATTTCTCTTAAACGTATGGTCTCAAGGTGCATCGTTTTACCTTTAAATGTCTCACTTATCCTTCTTTATGGCAGAGTAGTGTTCCATTGTATATAAAAATCACATCTTCCTTATCCATTCATCTGTTGATGAGCATCTAGGCTGTTTCTAAGATTTAGCTATTACAAAATGTGCACTGTAAACATGAGTGTGCATATATCACTGTGGTATGATGCTTTTAACTTTTCCGGGAAGATACCAATAAGGGGAATAGCTGGGTCAAATGGAACCTCTAGTTTTAGTTTTTTGAGGACTCTCTATACTTTTTCCTATAGTGCTTGTACCAGTTTATACTCCTACCAACAGTAGAAAAGGGTTCCTTTTTCCCCACAGCCTCCTAGCATTTGTTGTTGGTAGATTTCTTGATGATAGCCATTCCTTCTGGAGTGAGATGGAATCTCAGTGTTGTTTTAATTTGCATTTCTCAAATAACCAGTGAAGTTGAACACTTTTTCATATATTGGCTGTTTGTGCTTCTTCATCTGAGAAGTGTATTCATTTCAGATGCCCATTTTTCAATTGGGTCTTTAAATTTGGGGGGTCTGATTTTTTTCAAGTTCTTTATATATTCTAGATATTAGTCCCTTGTCTGAGGAACAGCTGGTAGAGGCGTTTTCCCATTCTGTGGGTTGTCTCTTCACTCCGCTGGTGGTTTATTTTGCTGTGCAAAAGCTTTTTGGCATGATGAGATCCCAGTTGTTGATTCTTTGTAATAGTTCCTCTGGGATCAGGGTTTTCTTCATAAAGTTTTTGCCTATACCTATGTCTTCAAGAGTTTTACCTATTCTATCTTCCAGCAGATTTAGTGTTTCTGTTTTAGTATTTAGATCGTTGATCCATTTTGATTTTAGTTCAGTGCATGGTGAGAGATACAGGTCTAGGTCTATCTGTCTTTCCTTGTTGAGTAGGAATGGGCTGAGCCCATTAATCGTAATCTTAATTGTGGGGCTTCTTCACACTGAGCTACATCCCGAGCCTTTTTTTATTGACACGGGGTCTTGCTAAGTTACTGGATTACTCAGGCTCGGGTTGCATCCAAATCTGCCTGCCTCAGCTTCCCAGAGAGCTGGGATTACCACGCCCAGCTACATTTGTTCTTCAAAATTCAGTTTTTCTCATTCGTCCAATGGGCTGAAATCAAGTGAGTACATCGCATGTGTGGAAGCACTTTGAAGGGTTTAAAACGCTTTGCATAAGATCCTATGCAGCGGGCCTGCGTTTTGCAGAGCACTGCAGCCTGGAGCCTCGCTGCGCAGGACATGTGCGCATGCGCCTGCGTGGAGGTTGCCCAGCGCCAAGCCTGTGTGCTGCCCACCATGTGCAGGCTATGCTGCAGATAGGAGCCCCCATGACTGCTGTGTCCTGAGTTGGATCCCATGTTTTCTGGGCACAGGTGAGCCACAGGTTCAACCTTGTGATTCATGGTAATAAAGACAACCCATAGGCTGGGGATTTAGCTCAGTGGCACCGTGCCTGCCTCTCAAGAACAAAGTCCTGAGTTCGATCCCTGGTATTGGAAAAAAAAGAAAAAAATAAATAAGGACAACTTATAAAAGCAAAGATGAAACCAATGAGCAGAAGATAGCGGACGCTTTAACATGCTAGGGTCCGTTACTGGCTGGAAAATGCCAGACCAGCCGAAAATGGAAGACACACATGCCTTAATCTCAGCACTTGGGAGGCAGAGGCAGGAGGATCACAGCAAGTTCAAGGCCAGCCTGGGCTACATCGTGAGTTCAAGACCAGCCTAAATTACATGGCAAGACCCTGGAAAATACCTATGGAGAACCTGACAGTCAAAATGAAGTGGATTCGAATTGTTCAAAATACACAATTAAAGATTTGCTCTGTAAGGGAGAAGTGGACAGAGAAGAAGATATTGCTCCATATATCCAAGACTTACATGGAGAGAAGCCAGGTGTATTAGCCACTGAATATTCACATTCTCCAATGCAAAGTGGTATAAAAGTTTACGATTCAAGAAGACCCATTTCATAAAAGAATAGTCTTTTCTTTGGGACATAGTTGCTTTATGAAGTTGTTGGATATAGAAAAAGGTTCTCATGTATTTTATTCCTGACTTTTTCCTTTTTCTTTTTCTTTTTTTGGTACCAGGGATCAAACTTGGGACCTTGCGCTTGCGAGGCAGGTGCTAGAACCACTGAGCTAAATCCCTGGCTATTCCTGACTTTTTAACACCTATTCCATGAATGTATTTTCTATCTTCTATGAGTCTTATTTCTTAAATGTACTAGGACATTTATACCACCTTGAGGTTACATTTGCACCATGTACACACAGTGGAAACAAGGACAGAGAATTTTATATTTAGTATGATAAAACTAATGCACTCAGCATTCCACTGTCAATAATGGCACCAATACCTTTCTTTCCTCCTTCAGAGATTAGTCTGAAATTCTGTTATTTCATTATGACGACTTTGAGCATGAATTCTAGAGTCTGTCCTCGGTGAAGTTAGGATCTGGAGAAAATCTTACCATGTAGTAATTTTGAAGTTAAATGTTGCTTAACTGATTTTTCTGGCATTTTGTAAGTGCTTTGTTTATCCTCTACATGTAGCAAGAGATTCGAATAACTATCTCATGTCTTAGATGAGAGTCCCTGACCTTGAGGGCATTGTCCACATCCAGCTCTGCACTGATGGTATGGGTTCTGCCTTTCTGTGTGTGATGCTGGTCAGCCCCCATGCTGATAGCTGGGTGAGATGCGAAGTAGAAAGATAGAAATCCTGTTAGCCCAGGAAGTTGGTTAACATTTTAACTCAGACTCGGTTTGCCCTTCCTCTTCTTAAAGCCGTGCCTGGGGGGCAATGAGAGTCAGCTCTCTGGGGTCCCGCAGATCAGAAAAGCTCTGCTCTGAGGATTAGGCAGCTGCCACAGGGTCACATGGCCTCGTGTGACCTGTGGGTCAGTCTGCTGGCTGGCTAGTGGTTGGCTGCTGGTCATTCCTCTGCTCTGCAGAGGGAAGGGCTGTAGGGAGTCCTCAGGGACCTGGGCCTGCTTCGCCCCCATCTTCCCTACCCTATCTTATTCTGACATCACCTGGCAGGACAGTAACTGGGGTTTACTGAAGAGGCAACAGGTGAAGCAATCACATTCTTTAGAGCCTGTCTAAATAACAAACAGACCCCAGGCCTCTGGCTTACTCATGACTCAGGCTTGTGAGCTGGACTTAGTTGAATTTTAAACAAGATTCACAAATGAATCAAATGAGCACATTCAGAGTTTCCAGGCTACTGTATGGTGTAGGCAGGATGAAACTTTGATGAGTCTGGATCATTTAGGTTGTTTCTTAGGAAAATTCTCACCTAAAGTTCAAGCCAGTTTAGAGCCTATATTTTATGTGGGTGGAGAAAAGTGTTCAGGTTAACATCATGAATTCCCTTAAATTGCTGCTCTTTAGCTTTGACAACTGACTTTGGAGTACTGTACTTAGGAGTTAATTACGTAAAAAGAGAAAGGCTTATGACATTTGTAGGTAAATGAGAGCAAAAATACCAAATGATAGGAAAACACCAAGAAACAAGAGACAAATAACTTACCCCAGAGACAAATAACTTACTCCCAAAACAAGAGACAACTTACCCCCAAAGAAATACAACTAGAAAATAAGTACATACCTGTATTCACTATATTCTGGTTGCAAGTTTAATAAATGTATATGAATATATGAATAATCATTTATCAGGTACGCACTGAACTTTTTTCTTTGCCGCAGCACTGTGCCAGAGATTAAAAATACATAAATAACATAATAATTATATTAGGATGGGTAGTTTCCCTAAACATTTTTTAATGCAGTTATATATTTAAAATTAAAGAAAAAAAGGAATTAGATTGGTTTATTTGGAGTTAATTTTTTATTTTTCTGGTACTGGAGATAGAACTCAGGACCTTGAGTCTGCCAGGCAGGTGCGGCACCACTGAGCTACATCCCTGGCCCTATTTGGAGTTAATTTTTAAAAGTATTTGGCATTGTGTTTTCTCCTTTATGTCCATATACACACAGTTGATGGGGACAATTTTGGTTAATTACAGGTCATGTTGGCAGAACTCAAGGGCAAAGATGAAGTGTATGCTGTGAAGGTCTTAAAGAAGGATGTCATCCTTCAGGATGATGACGTGGACTGCACAATGACAGAGAAGAGGATTTTGGCTCTGGCTCGGAAACACCCTTACCTAACCCAACTCTACTGCTGCTTCCAGACCAAGGTATGTTTGCAGAGAAGCTGACTGACAACTCTCTTGGAAAGCATGCCAGGACATCATGGTCTCTCAGCTGTCAGATAAAATAGCAGATTCAGACCCTCTGCGTTGGTCTCTCAAAGGCTTTGGAAGGTAAAGTGGATTTTACCCTTGAAGAGATCAGGGTATGTTTGAACACCTTCTTTTGAAGGTCTTGGGATTTTCCATTCAAGGCTTTGCTTGTGAAGTGATGAGGGAGGAAATGTAACTGGACAAAAACCAGATGGTTAAACCCAGTGTTTGTGCTTTGGGAAAACCAACAGGTGTGGTTGATCCTTGCTCTGCTCCTACCTTTCTATCTCCAGTCAGATCACCTAACTTCTATGTTGTTTTCAGGTCAAAAGAAAAAGAGTAAAGGACACCCTAATCGCTTCTAACTTATGTAATGTCATGTGAGGTAAAGGATGTAAACACATGCTTAAAATTCCACAGTGAAATACAAACAAGGTGGCAGTTTCAGAGTTACCATGCGGTTGCCCAGGAACCAGAGGTAGTAGTAAAGAAGTAAAGATAGTCTAACTACATTATAGAGTCTAATCTCTGATTTGTTACTTATTACTGGTAAAAAAGAAAAGAAATACACATGCTCCTCATGGAGCTTTTATTTTATTATTCTTTTTTTGTGGTCGAGATGGGGAATTAGAGTCTTCTAGGATATGTCATGGACTTGTAGTGTTGAGCTTCTTTAGATAGCAATGACAACCTCACCCAAACTCCTGCAAGTGTCCCTCTGGTGTACAGACTGTGTGAAAGAGACAGTGCGGGCGGTGATTTCTGGCTCCTTTGCATACTCCCACCACCATTTTATGGAAATGCCGGTCTCTCTACTTAGAATTTAACAGTTATTCATTTGCACACTCAGCAAAGTTTTATCCTGTTTTATTGCCTCTCTCCCATGTGCCTGGTCCTGTGACGAGGGCTGGAGAGGTAGAGATGAACAAGACCAGGGACTTCTCAGTTTCTTTAAAAAAAAAAACAACTACAGCCTTGGAGACACTGTGAAGATGGACTCTAGGGCCCATAGCTTGGGACCCTACAATATTGACCTCTCCTGGAGAGTTTCAAACGCATGTGTTTATTGAAGTCCCTGGGAAAACCTGCAGTGAAAAATGAAAAAGTTTACCTTTGTTTAATTTACTATTTCCCAATTTAATTGATCCCCACCACTGCACACACAGCACCCAATCCAAGTTGAGAAATACAGATCAAATGGAATTTGTCTTATTCTTCCAATCTCTTAGGCAAATAAGAAGCCTTTTCTAAAAAATCTCCAAGTCATTCTGCTTATCTTGCAAGGATATTTATATCTTTTCTTATGAAACTTTCTTAGACACTTGCGTTGAATAAGAATGCCTCCTTTTCTGAACTGGGTTTACTGACTGGCCTGTGTTTGAGGTATACGGTGTAATATTTATAGGTTAAGTGAGTTTATGTATGTGTCCAGATGTAGGTCCAGTGTGACAGCAGAGGCTCAGCAATGGGGCCCACTTTCTCCTTTTCTCCACTAGCACAATAATTCTAGATTAATGAGAAATGTATCATATCCTGTATGTCTTTATCTTCAGAGATACCTGTCATAGGACCTCACACTTGGTAAGTGCTCACTGTCAAAATTAGAGGCTTGGATGATGTGTTTTGGGTTAGTACTAGGGCTTGCACCGAGTTACATCCCCACTCCTTTATTTATTTTTATTTTGAGACAGGGTCTTGCTGTGTTGTCCAGGCTGGACTTGAATTTGTGATCCTTCTGTCTCAGCCTGCCAGAGTGCTGGGATTATAGGCGTGCTCCACAGTGCTCAGCTGAAGATTTTTTTTATTCTCCGATATGTACTAGTGAGAAAACTGGTTTTCAGAGAAGTTAAAATCTTTTGCCCCCAGACACTCCATAGGGGCAGAGTCAGACCTGGTATCTCATTTGACCTCTGGGACCCGCAACTCTGGAGGACCTCCACTCTGATGCCACTTTGCTACTCTGCTATGCCCAAGCCTGCATGGTATCTTCTCCGTGTGAGAATTCTGCCACTTCCCTGCCTTTACTGACACATCTCCTGGCTGCCTAGGCAGGGAGCCACACTGGCGTTCCTTCTTTAAGCATGTTGCCGAAAGGTCCAGTATCCAGTCTGGTGGTGAGGATTGTATGGAATGGTGAATTTGAGGAGGCCACTGTTGAAAGCCATCTTGGTGAATGACTGGGTGGAGTGGGAATGGATGTCTTCAGTGCCAGCAATGCTTCTTTTGTACATTTTAGAAATATCTAGGTCAAGGTTCCTCATTGTGTGACATCTTTTGGAACACAAAATGGTATTGAATGACACCAGGAATTTCATTTGCGGCAGAGTAATCCTCAAGCTGATGTGGATTTGGGCGCCTTGGGAGACTAGAGCATGAGGATGGGGAGAGAAGAAACATCCCTTGCAGTTCAGAGATGTGCTGATCTTTTCCAGTGTGAGGTGGCCATAGACAGAGGAGCAAGTTTGTGCCACCTTTCCCAGGCCACCTCTACTTAGTAGAACATTGTACTTTACATATGTGAATCTACCTAATTTTTCTAAAATGAATCGTAACAGTCTCAAAGAAGGCCTTTGACTTACTAATGGAAGGAACCTTAAGAATTATCATCTTACAAACCCACAATTTAACTTTTTTAAAAAATGACTTTTCCTATGGTGACCAGTAGTCACGGTTTTAAAGAATAACTATTATTCACCCGACTAAGGTAGGTGCTGGGTATGGAGTTATCTGTAACAAGAAAGCTGATTCACAAGTGGGAGAGTTGCTCAATGGGGGATTGGGCCGCCCTACTAACTTCCCCAGCAAAGAGCACTAGGTAGTCATGTTCTGTGTGGGGTCCTCAAACCCAAGAGGACTCAGGAATGGGTGCTCCTTGGGGTGCAGTGGAGGAAAGGAGCACAAGCCAGGCTTTGAAAGATGGGGAGGATTTGGAAAGAATTTGGGGTAGGAAGTGGAGTTTCAATCTTCAGTTTCACTTTTTCTTCCAAAAGAAAATACAGTTCCTCAGCCACCATGAACTTATTTTAACTAAGAGTAGTGCATGAATCAGGAACACAAAGACCTGATTTGCAATCCTATTAAGATTTCTTTCATTCTTATTTAATTACAACACACAGAGCATTGAGATTGTTAAGTCAGGTTTAATTATTTTTAGCCTTAGTTTTCAGTGTGTAGAGGGAAGTAGCTTTTCTGGAAACATCACTCTGAAAACTTCCAGATGGATTACGCAGAGCTTTAGGCTGAGTGGTGCGAACAGGTTGCCTGACAAGACTCGGAGGTTATGTACAGTGAGGGTCTCATATCAGATATGGCAACTGAGCAGAATGCATTTTGCAAACCCACTGGAATCAAGCATTATGAATGAGTCACAGTGAGAGACTCGTTTGGGCTTTTCTGTTTTAAGCCTTCCTGCCCTTGGGTGAGGTGCCATGGTCATTCTCCATGGGCTCTGCATTGACAAAAAGCAAATGACCTGGCACCAGCTTTCCAGGAATAGTGAGAAAGGGCCAACAGGCCAATGAATTGAGGCAATAACTATAATTTCAATCAAATTCAAACCATATATTTAACCTGAGTTCCCACTCTGCTGTGTGCCTTTTAGGACCCTACAGTAACCTGATCCAAGTCAGGGAATCTACAGAACTCCACCCTGAGGTATGGGTTGCATTGAAAAGAGGGTAGGAGCCAAGAGACAGCAATGAAACCTAGAAATTATCCCCAAATGTCATTTTCATCATTTTTCCAATGCTAGATAGATGAACTCACCACTGGGTGTCTGACTTCTTCAAACTAAATGATAAAAGGAAGGAGTGGAAGAAAGGGAGGGTATTTGGAAATAAGGAGAGAAATTCTGTCCCTGTGTAATCAGCTGCTGCTTGGTAGAGAGAGGACAGGGTAGGGCTGTGAGCACTCTTGATTGGGCTGAGCAGTGGTGAGGCTGGAAGTCTTGGACTTGGGCAAGGTCAGGGGTTACTGAAGAAGGGACTTAAGGAATTGCCTATTCCAGGTTCTCTCATCCATTGACAGCCAGGGATAGGAGAGGCACTGAGAGGTAGATTTGTTTTGTTTTTGTTTTTGTAGTTACAGGAAATAAAATTCCCAGGCAATTTTAGATTCTGTGTATTTGTATTTTATGACCCCCATTGCGAAACCATCTTCTCCAGAAGGATCCCACAAAACCTGTCTTGAATAATTTCACCCCTGCTTTTTGCTCTGTAAAACTTGTAAACTCCTACCCATCCCCCGCCCTTTGGCATTTCCTGCCAGGCCTGGGAAGCCAATTCCTGGAGGGCTTTGCTGTGAAGGAAAGGGCTGAACTCTTACAGGATCTCCTTTGGCCAGCCTCCCTCCCTGCCCTGGGGAACGTGCCACATGGAAAATCCTTAAAAAGCAACTGTAGACATTTTTCAAACTCAATTTAATAATTTCTCTGAGGTGGGGAGAGCTGCTAAGAGTGTTGACAATGTAGGAGAAAAACTGTAGTTTCAAGGAACTACAACGTTTATTGTTACTTTTTAAAAACTGTGGTACTGAGGATTGAACAGGGCCTTCACACTGCGTGAGCTCCAGCCTCAACTCAGTTTTTACTTTTTATTTTGAGACAGGGTCTCTTAAATTGCTACATTGCCCAGTCTAGGCTCAGACTTGCAATCCCACTGCCCCAGCTTCCCGGAGTCCTGGGATTACAGGTGTGTGCCACACTATGTCTGGCTTATTTCAACTTTTAATGCCAAAGAATAGCAAACCCTAAAGCAAAAAACAAAAACAGTGAAAAATTAGGTCACTGGTAGATTTTTTTTTTTAAGATGGCGATGTCAGACCGAAAAGAGCTGAGAAAGCAACCGAATGAAGTACGAGTCTCCTCCCTGCTACAGCACGGAGTCTGAGGCAGCAATTTAGAATTGGAGGGATTTTTGCCCCGGTTTGGTGAGTGTCTCATGAGAGTTGGAGGAGTT